GTAAAGGTAGCTTCTCTCCTCAGGCTTCTACAGACATGTTTGTTTTATGGAACTTTGTTTTTCCTTTTCCCTTTCTAGCCCAGATTCCGTTTGAAGCATACAGGAGCTGAAGCTGTATGCTATTTCCTCCTTGAGGGGGATGGCAGAGCTAAGCAATGAGTGATGCAATCCAGACAAGAAATCTCACTGTACGGAAAAAAAACATCTGGGAGTAACTTACATTAAAAACACACCTAATTTTTCCCTTTCACAAAAATATGGAACCCCAAATGTTCTTACTAGTGACTGCTCTTTATGGATGTTCTCTCTAGGAGTGATTTTTTTTTTTTTTTTACTGTAGTGCTAACCCAAATGAACTGCACTATGACTGCTTCAAGAACATCTAGAAGCGTATTATGGATCTCACGTTGTATCAAGAGAAAGCTCATATTCAGAAGCTGCAGGTGATTATCAAGCAACGGCTAAGATTAACATAAGGGTCATAAGGTCTCAAAACACGTGTAGGTGTAGGATATTGTAGGTATAGATCCAGATTTTGTTTTCAAATTTAGAAAATAAGCATTCTCATTACTTTTGCCTTTTCTTTCTTTTGTGCTCAAAACTAAAAAGTATTATAAGTATGTGGGGGGAAAGACATGATGTAGGCAATACCGTAAATAACTGTTTCCTTCTTTATACCAAAAATAGAGGAAGGTACTAGGAAAATCTGAGTTCTGCCGAAGCATAGGAAATATATGTGTATTTTCTTGCACTTGTGAAGATGTTGATCCTTCCTTTGCAGGCAGACATTACAATAGATAATAAACAGGATTCACATTCTTGGCACTCAGTCAATTAAAAGAAATACCAATTGCCTTCTGTGAATATTCCCATGGTGCCAACCATGAGAGGAACGGGTGAGTAGGAGGAGTGAAGGTGTGATAATTGAAAGAATTGCTACTTGATAAGTCACAGGAGCTAATGTGTTAGCTCAGCATGTGGGGAAGCTAGAACATTCCCAGCTGCTGCAAAAACTGGGTGTATTCAATCCCTGGCACCACTCGTTGGGACAAGATGAATCACAAGTGCTTCGACAGAGAGCTACCATGTCACAGTGAGCCAGATGGAGGTGGTTACTCCTCTGATTGATTGCCTCTTGGGCTACCAAGGGCTTTTCCAGCAGGCTAATGCCTTTCTGTTGGCACTTGAGCGCCTGGGAGCAGCATGTCCTCTTTGGTCAGCCCCACATGGAAATTGTTGCCTCTCCGAAGTGTGGCTACTGCAATGATGGAGAGGCATAGAAAAAGTAAATAAGAAGCAAGGGGGAGTGGATGGCTGCCATGTGTACAAAAATAACACCGACTTTCAGTGCCTCCCTAATAGATGTTGCTGCTAATGAATTTTCAGACACGTGCTGAGTTAACAGGGGTGAACAACATTGAAACACCCTTTAGTTAAACCCAGTGCTTTACAGAAGCTAATTGAAAAAGGAAGGAGCAGCAGGGGTGGGAGGGGGAACGAGGAGGAAGCGGGGCGGAGGGGGAGAACAGCTCTATTTTTCAAGTGCTGAATATGAAATCCCTGCAACAGATGAGTTTACATGCAAGCCTGCACCTCATCAGGGCAAAGATACAGTGAGTGGAGTCAAGTAATTTTCCTCTGCGCACAGCATCCCCAGCCCCTTACCCTGCCCAGCCAGCTTTCTCAACTGTGAGCTTTAGAATATAAACAGCCAATAAGTAAGGACAATAACTGTAGTTCCTCCTGTTTCTCTGCCTGTCATGCATTTGCTGGGTCCTAATACAGGACAGTGAATAAAGCTTCATTACAGAACAATGGAGTTAGCTGCCAGAGCCTACAGATTTGAATAAACAACAAATAAGCAACATCTGCTCCAGCATATGTGTATGGTAAAAAAAAAGTCACAAAATAAAAGAATTTGTAAATGCCAAAAGCAACACTAAACTGCCAGTGCTACTGTAGAGTGAATTTTTAATTGCACATGCATACAGGCAGGCTGTGGGTATTAGTCTCACATATGTCTGGTTGCTGCCAACCTGGGAGTATAGATGAATTTAATTAAATAAGGATTATCCCTTCTCCCCAGTACAATTACTTATTTATAACAATGATAAAATTGCCTAATAAAAAAGATTGTAATATTTTTTAAAACAGAGCTAGAAAACACTCTGCTTTTCCTGTAAGTCATTCAGGGATGTTTGGGGGCTTTGAGCGTCTTTTAAAATTAAGTCTCAGCATTCTGCCAAAACAGAGAGAAAAAAAGCCTGATCATAAAGCCTACTGCAGTTAAACAGCCAGAATCTACATTATGGAGAAATATAAAGAAGACACACAGCAGCCAGGGAATTGGCTTTCATGGGGAGTGTAGGAAATTAAGCAATTGGACTAAAATTGAGGCCAGGTTACAGAGCCAAGGGACAATACCACTGGGACAAGTGCTTCCATAAGTCACCCGTCTCTAATATGCCCCATATAAGCAAAGCAGTCTGTTCCTATCTATTTCTGCTCATATTGGGCTCCTTGAGCTTCCCCCCTCAGGTGAGCTTCCACTCCAGCATGGTCATGTCAGGTGTTCACATCTTCATCATTGCGCCTGTTCCTTTTCCAACAGAGCCTCCAACGAAATGAGGTTGGGCCCTCACTCTAGTAGTCATGATACAGGTCTTAAAAAAAACAAGCAGCCTCTACCCCAAGGAGCCTGCAGTCCATCTCATTTCAGGCATATTCTCCTAGGAGCTGAAGTTTTCCTTGCTAGGCTCCTACTGGAATATGGGCTCTGTTTCCCCAAAAGCTCCTATTTCAAATTATGGGTCTGAGAACTTCTATTGCATTTGGTGGGAAGCTTCCCAAGAGCTAGATATTATCTGTCCTAACAATGTCAAATTGATATAAGCTCTTTTTAGATTGTTCCATGATGCACCTTGAGTATAGAGAGGTACACATTTAAAATAATTGGAAAAGGATAAGGAATATGAAAAAAAGCCAATAAACAAGATGATCAAAATCTCTTCTTTCAATTTAGAATTAGCATTAGCAATACTATAACAGGAGCATGAAGAGAGATATTCCAGTTTTTAAACTAAACTCTAAAATAATATTATGGTGCTGTTAAGGCACAAATATTAAATAAGCACATTTTACTTCTATGATATTAATTGATCAACTAACTGTATGACAGCCCTATTAGAATTTAAAACAAATGATCACATTCTGCAATTTATCCCAAAATTACCATGAATGCATTTTTATTCCTGTATTTTAAAAGAACTTTCAGGTCCTAAGTTTCTTTCTTCCTTTATATTGGGATGAATATATCTATATAATCTGCAAAATCTTTTCACAAATACCTTTATCATTAAGTAGCATAGTATTTTTTTTAGAGCTCCATGAAAAAAAAAGGGGTTTGGGGAAATGTTTTATTTATTTATTCCCAGGTGGGAATATGGTGGGTATATACCCACCTTCTATGGTGTTCATTACTCATTTCTCTCCACCAAATGGTGGTTTTCTTTGCACAAATCCTGGAAAACTGGTATATTTTGTATAGACAGTACTACAAGCAAGATTGCTGGTGTGGGAGCTTGTTCCTAAAGACTGAGTCATCATTCAGGAAGCAAAATCAAAGTGACCTCATGTAACTCAGGTCACAAAACATACTGTCTGACTAGCAGCAAGGGCCTGACGTCTTTAAGCCTGAAGAATGGCCAGAGCCACCTATTGACAGACTGGACCCAAACCACCCTGCCAGGGGATGTGGTGAGAACTGGCTAACACAGGCATACAGTCTGTTGCACAGCTAAAAAACAAAACAAAGCAGGAGAGAAACTAGCAAAGCAACAAAATATCTACTTACAGCTCACTTCAAAACAAAAAAAAATTGCAACCTCCAGGGCTAACGAATTCATTATATACTCCATCGCATTTGGTCGGCTCTAGCATTTATCAAGAAAACCCTGCTCATTTTGATTAAAATACCTTCAGCTTCATTGAACTCAACGGGACTTGTGACACTGTCTTCAATAGGCTCATGATTTCACTCTTGTGAATCCAGCTGTCATCACAGCCAATGGCATTTGTGAATGACTGGCACCAGTTCATATCTGATCTTTATTCCCATACCTGTGTGTGAACTTGGACTGTCTAATTATTTGTGCTGGGTCCCCAAAAGTGGAATAATGCAATATTTGTAAGGTGAGGGCTCACCAAACTCTTATCTTTGTTCCTTTCTATCTGCTTTTTGTTACTCGTTCGTTCTTCTACATCAAATTTCTGTCTCATTTCAAAACCTGCCAGTCCTTCTCTAAGCACTGGTTAGCAAGAGTCACTAGAGAGCAAGGCTGAGTGCACTCTTTTCTAGAGGCAGAACAGCCGTCTCCTCCAATATAGCCACCCCTGCCAGCAAACAGTTCTCAGGATCCAAACTCACGTCGCCCCAAATGACAGCATAACATCTGGTCTAACAGCTTTGCATTTAATCCTTTCATAGACTTCTCAACTTATTTCCTAACACATGATCCAGTGCCATATCAGCCCATGTGTTGACAGTCTCCATATTACGGGAGATTCAGATGTTGCAGTGGAGGCCACTGTGCAACCAGAAAGTCCTCTCAGGATCATCAGGTCAGTGGATAAGAGTGCAGCTGTGTCTGATGGATGAGCAGGACAGAAGCTTTGGCTTTGTTTGCAGGTCCTGAGAAGACTTACATGCATGACCTACATGAAGACACTTAGCAGATCAGATAGGTCCTCCAAACACTGAAAGCAGGAACCCACTTTGTGTGCACTCACTGTATCCTCCTGACGAGGGGAAGAGCATTTTACAGCCCTATGATTCATGAAGTCATATCATCTAGATTACCACGGACCAAATAGTCCATCCAAACAGCAGAGTTGGTGGGACCAAAGAGAGAACACGTTTTTAGTATAAACCTTTAGAAAGGACTCCTTTGGAACACAATTTTAAAAACAAATCTGGAAAAACATCTGTTTTTAACACTCACCTGATATGCTATCAGGACCATTTCTACATAGACTTTCTTCCTCCAAACTCTGAATCTGAAAAAGAGGAGGAAATGTGAGAGAAGAGGAAAACATCTTCCTGACAATGTTGATTATTATGAGTGTATTCCTTATTAAGGGAGAGGGGATAAGAGTAAAAAGAAAAATTCTAGAAATTTCAGAGTGAAAACATGATTATCTTTTAGATGCTTCCTTTTTGGTGGTGTCCTTTTCAAAAAGGAAAAAAAAAAGTGTTATGTCATAATCCAGGCTCTAATCACAAAGGCTCTTCAAGTCTTTCCAAAGTAGTTAATGTGTAAAGTTTTCCCCACTCATGTATGTCTTAACAGTCTATTTGAATGGTCTTAGAGAAATGTCCCTAGAAGAAAATATGACTTAGCAGTAGAAACGTTAGGCAGGGCAACCATATGGAGACAAATTCTTGCCAAAGAGTGTATGGAAGGTCAGAATGTTTTTTCCTCTAGGAATAAAGATTCCATTTGTGTTTCCCGTGTTACCAAGTGGAGCAGTAAGTTGTGATGTTGCAGAAATTGCAACAAGAGTCATTACAGAAAAGCAGACCAATTACACGCAAAACAGCTCAATGTGTCCCAGATGCAGCTATAGCTCAAGAAACCTCCAAACCACCTACTGTCAAAGTCTAGAAGAATATATGAGAGATCACTCTATATGCCCCTATTTCTTATTCTCTTCCTAGGCACCTGCTACTTTCTGCAGTCAGTAGAACATGTTATATGGCCTTATGGTTTGAACCCGTACACTGTTCTTAAAACCTTAGTTTAATAAATACTTGGATGTTAAGCAGCGTATACAGTTATAATATGAGCATATAGCATTCATCAAACTGTCTTGGGCATCAGACTGCGGGGTTTATCATCTGCTGCTCTGTCAGCATCCTCACTTTCTGAGCCCATGATAGCTTACAGGGATCAGAGAGTTACTAACCAAAAAGCTGCAAGTCCAGTGTGCAAGTCTGTACAGACATAACGGGTTGCAAAGATTTGTCGTGATGGAGACCTCTGAAAGACCCTTTCTTGCCCATCAAGGCTGATAGTCAGATCCAAACTTATATTCTTTGAGTCAGCTCTACCAGCTTAGTTCCACAACTGCAGGACACAAAGGGAAACTTAGGCTGAAACAAAACTTTCACAGAAAAATAATTCTAGAAGGAATTGGAAAAAATAAATATCTTTTATATGGAAAGGATGCCACCAGCTTAACCCAACCTCTTCCAACTTCTTTCAAAACTGGAAGTCTTCTTAGGCCTCCCACTTTTTCCAGGCTCTTCCTTTCATATTACAAATGTTTTCAGGGAGCTGCCAGCTATCCTGCTTCTCCTCCCTTCTTTGTTCTTAGAGAGGAGCCCTCTTTCTGTACTAATACAGCCAGAAAAAAAAAAATGTTGCTCACACAAGAACTCTGAATGTAAGACAAGGACTGGCATGTATCCTGGTCTCTGTTACTTCATGCTGAACCTCACTGATAACCCACTGTTGCTGAATATACAGAAAGCTGAGTATCATGGACTTTGAAAACTGTGGATTTGAGAACAAGCTCTGAGTTATTCAGCTTTAGCATGCTCAGCTTGCAGAGCAATAAAATATTTTGAATGTTGCTATAAAACCAAGGATAATCTTGTGATGAAACATTTGGAGAGAGCACACCAGAACATGAGCTTAGAGGAGGGGGAAAAAAAAAAAAGAAGGAAAAAAGGTTAATAACAGGGTCTGTAAAAATATCCTTGATAGGATATTAGTGTTCCTGCAGCTTACTTCTAGAAAAAAGCTAGCACTGTGTAAAGCACATTGGCATGCTATGCTGTCACACAGGTTGAATGAATCCTGTCTCAGTGACCTCAGTGCCAACTTCTTTGACAGTATCCTAGCACAAAGACAATTTAAAATAATTAAAGCCCCAACGAGTAGTGTCACTCCCACTGTTTTTCCCCACAATACTGCAACATGGCATTTTACGTAATTTCTTCTATCCTGAATGTTCAAAAAGAGAATCCAAATCTGTAAAATAAAGACGTCTAAGTATACATTGCTGGTAAGTAATACGCAGAAATCCACCTCACCTCTTCCAATTCAAATGAGTCCGGCAGCTTGTAGCTTTGGCTGGCCAAATTTTTGAGTGTGGGGGCCACAAGCAAATTCAACCCTTTCCTTGGCCGGTCTTTGGCAGGCACCTCACGTGCAGAAGAAAGGTGGGACTGTTTTGGAAGTAAGTGAGATGAAGCCCAAGTTCCTCCTGGTGGAGTCTGTGGACACTGAGATACTGTGAGAGCATCTTTGCCTCTGGAGATTTGCTCTGGGGTGAGACAATCCATCATAACACCTTCAGAAAAACCCACTTGGATTGTTCCACTCTTGGCATTGTCACCGCAAGAGTAGGGCTCTCCTTTCCATCCAGATGATCCAGCTTCACCGGATGCCAGCGAGCTTTGTTTCAGCAGCATTGTCTGTTTAGAAGCCCTTTTCAGCAGCTGACCTATTCTCTTCTTTGCTCTTGTAACCACAGGTTTGCCCTGTTCAGTATCCAAGTGGCCGATCTCACCTCTGCTGGCATCCTGGGCTTTGCTCTGTTGGGTGTTCACATCAGTCAGCAACAAGGAGAAGGCACTCGCCACATGATCAAGCACTTCTAGCTGTCGAAAACGCCCTAGAGTTTGACAGAAGGGAAGGCAAATGTGGTTATCAAAAAATACAATTTGAAATAAATAGCAGGGCATAATGATTATTATTAAATTTGTCTTTGCCAAAAATAACATATTAAGAACCTGATTAAAAATGTCTATTTTTTTCTTTTACTTTCGGAGGATCCTATATAATATTGAATTCTTTGAGTCAAGTACAGCTGACTACCACTTAGTGTAAATAAATGTTACAGAATCCAGACTTAAATTCTTCAATTAGTTTGTATAGCTTTGGATGCCATTTTTGAGTACTTGTTAAATGCCACGAGAATAAAGCCATCAGAGTCTGATCTCAGATATCTACAGCTGGCTACTGTCCAGGATAAGTGCAAAACACATATACCCATTACTTGATAGCAACTGGCCACAGTCATTTTCAGAACACCGCAAAACAAAAATTTATTTCCCCAGAGAGTCATAGCAAGGTGTATACACACTTGTCTTTATACAGATGCTTGGTGTTTTTTCTTTGGAACAAAACTGTGTTATTTCTGGGTCCTTTTATTCCATCGCATAGCAGGTAAAGAGAAATGGATGATATTTTCTGTAAGGGATTATGGAGATTTCAATCACTACAACACTATGCTGTTATTTATACAAGGAAATGCAACACATTTGCTTGTGTAATGTGTCTACACCCATCCCGAGGCTATGAATATGTCACCAGGACTACTTCTTCCTTAAGAGATTTGCTGAGGAGAGTAGATGGCAAAATGCTAACATTCTTGGCTGCCATTTCTCCTAGAGAGCAGCCAAACTTCCTGCATGCAGTGTGCACACAGGCTGTTGGTAATATTGCTTCACTGATGATTAGATAACAAGGGGGTATTTAACATGGCTCTGAGTTGGTCCGTTGCATCAGGGACCAATACCATGCCATATAATTCCTGCTAATTACTATATCTCAGGGATACTTCTTTCCCCCTTCCTTCACAAACATTACCTAATTTTTAATACCAGAGGAAATTGTTGCCATTCGTATCACTTTTTAAAACATGGTCAAAGGCTTCTCTAGATTTTGTCTATAGAAGTTATCTGATCTATCAGCACACAGGTTACACAGGTTTGGATAAAGTTTGCATTTGTGTTAGTTTAGAAAGCTGGAGTAAATCACTTACGGTTTTGTGCTTCCAATGTATTATCACATGCTTCTCATGAACAACACATTTTAGCCTCGGTGTTTTATCTGGCTCTCACTATTTCATGCTATAAAAATGCCAAGTGCTAATCTGCTTCAACTGACAGTGGCAGAGAAGTACAGTACTTGTCATTTGAACCAGAACCAAACTTGCTACAGTTTGAAATAGTTTTGGCACGCTAATCTTTTTCCTGTAAATTGTTTCCTGAGAGCTTATGACACCTGATGAACAAGAGGGAAATGATAAATGAACAAGCAATCCTCTCACTCATATGAAGTGTAATAGATACACAGGTCATCAAAAAGTGATATCAGGGACTGCCCTGCTTCACAGACAATTTATTTCCAGGCCAGCAGTCCCTTTGCTTTCAGTGGGTGCTCCCCAAGGAGTATCCTCAAATAGGTGACAGGAAAATGTAACATGTTGGGCTGTAACAAAGATTACATGCTAAAGGACATAACAGTGGATGCATTTTCACTAGAATCTTAAACCAACTCAGCCAATGGCCGAAGTGTAAGCAAAATCTCCTGATTTTATGATCAGGAGATTTTTACAATTTAGGGAGAAATTCACAGAGTTTTGTGCCCCCTTACCCTAAATCTGTGCTACAGTAGTCTGTATAAAAGATCTGGAAATGCTTCAATAGGTGCTCAGGAATGAAGAGTTTCCAGAGCCAGTAAGAAATTTTCAGTCAGCATCTTGTTCTTTCAAGACAAACCGAATTAGAAAAAGAAACAAACAAATAATAATAAAAAAAAATCAGTAGGAAAACTCAGATTTATCCTAAATTTTTCAGTTTTTGTTAAGAAAAATCAAAAAGGGATCTCAGCATGGTATACTTTGCCATGTATTAAAATATTTTCCTTTTTTTAGGTATTAGGTCCTGGTAGTACTGTCTCTGCTTGAACTGAGGCCGTACCTCAGAGAAGACATACTTAGTAATTTACATTTCATTATAGGGCTGGGTTTACTGACTGATATAATATTGTCCGTGATGCATGCGGCTCTCTCCTCACTGTCATCGCTGACCTGTTGTGATCACAGGACAAACAGGTGCCATGGAAAGTGCTACCTGCTGTATATACTCATCTTGCAAAGGAGAGTAAGGCTTGGGCAACTGCTCCAGTGAGGGGCTTGCAGCAGCTGACAGACACACAGATGAAAGTGTGGCTTATTTTTGTGTG